TCAAGTTAGGATGAGTTGATATTCGACATCATATAAAGGATGAGTTGAGATTCGACACATCATGCAAGGGTAAATTGAGATTCGACACATCATGGAAGGACGAGTTTAGGTTCGACACATCATGTAAGGATAAGTTGAGATTCGATACAATATTCAAAAGCGGATTGAGATTGGACACATCATGCAAGGGTGAGCTGAGATTTAACTCAATATGCAAGGATGAGTTGGAATTCGACACATGTAAGAGTGAGCTGAGATTCGGCACATTATGTAAGGGTGAGTTGATTTCGACATAATATGCAAGGATGAGTTGATATTTGACACAACATGTAAGGGTGAGTTGAGATTCGACACATCATGCAAGGGTGAGTTGAGATTCGACACATCATACAAGGGTGAGTTGAGATTCGACTCAACATGCAAGGGTGAGTTATGGTTCGACACACCATGCAAGGGTGAGTTGATATTCGACGCATCATGCAAGAGCGGATTGAGATTCGACACAAAATACAATGATCAGTTGAGATTTGACACATCGTGCAAGGTTAAGTCAAGATTCGACATTTGGTTTCCATTGTCAGATATTCATGGGGTGCTTGATAGAAAATGCTTATTGAACGTTGTTTTATTTTCATTATTCCATTATTGCTGCAAAACTAGCATGCTTTAAATTGTCATTGAGAAATTCACCAATTTCACCGGTCATTTCTCAAAAGATCGACAGCATTTTGTGTAAGGCGTTTTGTCCTCATTGCCGTATTTTTTATGTTGAAAGGTTGCATACACTTTTATGACGTGATTCTTTAAACGTATTCGCTTCCGTTTTACTAAAATGCTTCTTTAAGCTGCTACAAAAATGATTATCCTGCTTAAATATTTATTGAAAATAGAATCTATAGCATATCATATTTATAAAAGATGAGGTATGCCTAATGATTTAGATTTCCTAGCATTTACAAACTATAGTTGAGTTTGATTAGGTGTAAAAAGAGGAAGAAAAAAAAATGTTCCGGTGACCAGAATTTTCTACTACTCCGGTGGCCTAGTGGTTAGAGCGTCCGCCTCGGATGTGGAAGGTCGTGGGTTCTATCCCCGGTTCAGTCATTCTATAGACTTTTAAAATTGGTACTAACAGCTACCTCACTTGGTTCTCTGCATTAAGAAGTTAGTGACAGGACTGGTCAGCCTGGAGTTAGGATATAGTGACTGGTGGGACATCATGCTACATGTCTGCGGCATGATGCTCCAGTGCTAGTTACCACTATGAACTGCCACACTGCAGACATGGTAGCGATATGATTGAAAAATTGTTAAAGCTACGTTAAAAATCCAACACACACACACACACACGCGCGCACACACACACACACACCAGACATTTTTTGTTTTAATGACCTAATAACTTTTTATCACGTCGAGGAAAATACCTGTACTGCCCATGTTTTGTTTTTTTTTTTTGCCTCATAGTCGTCAATGTTAAAGTCTAAGTTGTGATATGAAATTACACGAGCTAGATACCAAAAAGGTAAACAAAAAATTGGGTCATACAGTATATTTTTCCCACTATTACGAAAGCCACATTATTATTTTGGATTTACGGGCTGGAAAGGACGTCCAAATATCCAGTGCTAACAACAGCACGAGACCATTAGATGTCAGTTAGTACGTGATTTTGATGTTTTACTAACCAACAAAACTTTTGATTATTGGGTACATTATAATCAATGAATAAAAGTTCCACATGCAGAATACGAAGTTTTAAATTTGCCACTAATACAAGAAAGGTTCTCATTTTCTATTTTAAAAGTTCAGAAATATGCTTTGTATTATTCATTTTTATTCACCTGTTCAGCATAGGACTGACTATATATGTTTCGTTAGTCTGTTAGTATCCATGTTTTTTGATTGCCATTTAATGAAGTGTATTTATAATTTATAATTTTTTTTCGGGTTTGAATTATATTCTTGAAAATCATATACATTATTGTCTTTTTAAATGATTTGTACAGAAATCGTATCTCTAGACCAATGTAAAAGCCATTATATCTCAAGTCAACTATAAAAGCCCTTTGTGGTAAATTGCTTGCAATACTGACGCTGAACTTGGTGTGTTTGCATGGCTTTTGAATTGGGATGATAATAAAACCAGAAATGAATAAAGCTGTTTCGTTTTCCGTTTCGGCTATTGAGTTGAACTGAAACAAAAAGAAATCGGGCTTAACAGGTGAAGTCCCAACCAATACTGATCATATCTTTTGTGTGAGTCAGTTACTGCGTTTGATATGAAACGTCAACATCGTTATACCTAATCTGTATACAGTTGTTCTCCGATCTTATTAAACATACTTAAAATTGATAAGTTATGATATGGGTCAACATAGCCACTTAGGGAATTATTATTACATTTTATGATTAATATGTAGGGGACAATATAGATCCCTATGCGAACTGGAATATCAAATTGTATATCCTCTACAGAATGGGGCCATGGTGTCCTCTATTTGTAAACAATGGAGCTAAGCTTATGTTTAATATGTTGGGATGTTATGGCCTCCCATGGAAAACGTAATTTTGAAAACGTTTTTAAACATTATCTGGCATACGCCCTACCATCTAGCATCTTCTTTTCGATTACCATGCCACACACTTATTTGCTATCCAGCACCCGCCATATAATTACTAAGCAGCACCTCATAATATTATCTAACGATAATGGTGCTAATTTGTATACATATACCATACTTATTTATATACAAACATACTCTTACGGAAGGGTAGGAGTGTTTATAGACGCACCATACCTACACAAACATATTATCAAATACAAACATGGTGTGCATGGTTTCCTGTTTTAGCTTGGACATAGACATATACGTATACAAACACGTAATCGGTAATACTTTTGACTACTATTGTTAAGTATATATATATATATATATATATATATATATATATATATATATATATATATATATATATATATATATATATATATATATATATATATATATTAAAACTCCTGGCACATAATTTTATCTAATTTTTGTAATATTTCTTGATATCTGTAAATTACAGTGATATTATCTTTAGTTGAAAATATTGTTACAAACCATGGGTCTTTTGCTTGACCGAGCTGTGTCAAAAAGCCTGGCGCGAATCCCGGTAGAAGTCATAAGTTTGCTTCAAATTTCCAAAGACTTCTATACAACTTCAGTTGTAAGTTGGAAAGACCGACGTGTTCATAATATACATAAATTTTACTCTAATCAATGTAAGACCACATTATTTACAACTTGCTAAATAACCATCAACCGCACATCCGCATAGTTTCTCTACATCAACTTTCCGTTCCGCCAGCAGTTCACACCGTAGAAACTCTACAACTATTCCTAACATGGGGGACTATTTAACTGCGCCACCTAAGGCCAGTCAATCTACCGTTTCAAGGTACTTCACACCAGTAAAACTACATCACATTTGCCACTCTGGCGACATCAACGGTATCTTCCGAGTCCCTTCTCATTTATTCCATTGTGTAGTTTACCGGTTTCCTACCATAAAGTCTGCCATTGCAGTCACAACACCCATGTACACCACTAGATTTTAAAAACATTACATCACGACATGGACAGTCATACGAATTAGGTCTGAATTCGCCACTCATTGACCATGAAAACTCACTAACACTTTCTCTTGTGACGTTTGCTCCTAAAAATCGGCTAATTATTTCGGGCTAAGGAATAATTCTCATTGCACCGAATTACAATAATAAAACATGTAATCACCAAACCTAAGAATTGCTTAAACTACAAGCAAATGCATATCTCCTTAATTTTATTATAATAAGTTCGATTGTTTGACCTGTTTTAAGATATTAAAGAGCGTACAAATTGTATAAGATCTATAAATAGGTGCTTAAGTACGTGTCAAAAATTACTAATAAAAGAACTATTAGCAGATATATTTACGAGATTCAGCCTTTTTCCCATTGAACATATCGTTTATACAGTATCTTGGAATAATTAAATTAATTCGCATTGTATGAGTCAAATGAATAGGTACTTTGAAATATCAAACTGATCAGAACGATGTGTCTGTCACGTGAGTTTTACTGCCACTCTTGAAGGTATACATGAGAGAAATGAGCAGTCAGATTTCATTCCTATATTAGAGTCATTCATATTCTTGTGCTCCTGTTCTAACATCTTGTCTAGAGTTCTGTGGTAATGGAAAGTGCTCATTTTTTGGAAAATAACATATCACGTTTGTGAATTATTTAAAGGAGTTTTAGACACCGTCAATTTGGCAACGCCACCATTCTTGTCTTTTTAATTATTTTTTTTAGTTTTTCTGGACTCTAATATAAATATTTCAGGATTATTTTGGTTTCAGTTCATAATACCGTAAGTTCCTCTCACGTTATCCATATAACTTTGACAGTTATATTATTTGTTAAGTTTTACAATACTTGTTGGCTTTGCTTCTTCTGTTATTTGGTTATGACCATAGAATTTTAACAATATATCTCTTTTCCAGAGATATGGGTGACCCCGAAAAGACCGATTGGATTTGTTAACCAAAGAGGGTTAATAGAGGATGCCCCTCTTATTCTCTTTTCCGCAAACATCTTATTACAGCCGGACAGTAGAACTGATCCTCTTTGATATCCTTGTCTATCCACTTAAATCCTTTCTTTCCCATATAGTTGTATGTTATTTTCGTGATGGTTCAATTAGACTGGAAAGTCGGGTTGGATGTGATATTGTGATGTGATTATAATTTTAACGTAGCTTTAACAATTTTTCAGTCATATCGCTACGCTGTCTGCAGTGTGGCAGTTTGTAGTGATGTCTAGCAATGGAAAATCATGCCACAGACATATAGCATCATGTCCCACCCAGTCACATTATGCCACCAGGCCAACCAGTCCTAACACTAACCTCTTAATGCTGAGCGCAATGTGAGGAAGCTGTTAACACCATATTTATAAGTCTTTGTTATGACTCTTATCGGGGATCGAACCCACGACCTCTTGCATCTGAGGCCGACGCTCTAACCACTAGGCCACCGGAGCAGTGAAAGTCGGGTTGGAAAGCATAACTGTAACAATGGTTGACATGCATGTCCACATATGAATGGATTGTCTTAAGTATATAAGTTATATATATATATATATATATATATATATATATATATATATATATATATATATATATATATATATATATATATATATATATATATATATATATATATATATCTGACGGATCTACAGTGAGAAACCAGAACAAGTCAAGAGGCGACAGCGATGATTTCCTGTGTCACCTCATACTCATTAGCTAAGTGAAGTATTAACACAAGTTACAGTGGCATTAATAATAATATGAATGAGACTGAAGCAATACTAACTACCTTTAAAACACCATCAGGGAAGTTAAGACCATTAAAGAAAGAAATTCGTAGGTTGCATCTGAGGATTAATTTCACATTCATGAGACCCGAAAAGTTACTCCCAGAAAATTTCAAAGAATAGCTGGTGGATGCTTGGTCACAGTTAGACACTTTATGTCACGTGCCACTATGCACTACAGAAATGTGGCAATCATTGTTAATGGTATTGCAATAATAGTGCCACTCTAAAGTAGACAATCGTTTCAGACGATCACAACAGTTTAAAGTCTTTCTGTATCGAGTTAATACACCAGAAACATTCCCACTTTCCAGAATTACAGACTAAATTCAACTCGTCGAACAATCGAATGACGAGTTTAGCATTACCGGTGGAAAAGCGATTCTTCACATGACACACATTTCACCTCCAAGAGGTTGTAAATTACACGAAGTTTTATGGAAGGATGAACTTCGCTGTAACATAGCATCGTTCAGATTGACAACCACCAAGATAAAATATACTTAGACAATAACAATCGCAGTGGCTAGAACGCCTGGTGAGAAAACATACAGCAGAGTGGAAACGATCTAAACATATATAATAAGACAGTCCCAACAGATAAAGAAAACAAAATTATCAGTAACACCATCTTAATGGTAGAGATAAGAAAATTGGCAGTCTTTCCGTTGATGGATGAGATTTAGATTCATGGATGTTTAGTTCAATGACGCCAAACCTGTTTTCCTGATCGAGACATCGAAAAATTATACACTCAGTATAATAAATATACTAAGTGATAGAAATGTGAAAACACAACAATGGTCGACTTTTCCAAACTGATCCCAAATTTAGATTTATTCCCGAAAATTACGACGTGAGTGAATAATGAATATTTTATATACGTGACATTTTGTTTGGAGGACTTACTAATGTGATGCTTCATGCTGTGGCAGTGTCTCAAGGACAACAAATCAAATACATTGTTGTGTGTTCCTTGTATTGTTGGGTATGCAAATATGTTCGATTCCCCACGGGTCAATCTGATATGTTGATAGAACACAAAGGGCCAAGTGTACCATCCTGTTTTACCTCTTCATTTTCCTGAATTCATACATTTGATCGGGACTATCATTGTTGCCACGATGATCAAAAACGCGATTTGAAAGGAATGTGGGTGATTAACAAATTGTTTCTTGCTCTTAATTGTGTGTCTCAACTAGTAAAATGTACAAAATATGGCATTTTCCTACCACAGAACAATAACAAAACGACAACGACTGCTCCACAAGAGAGTAATAGTTTTCTCTGGCTACGGAAACTAATTCTTAAAACTGTTGCAAGAAGATGATGGGTATTCGTCTTGGATGAAGGCTGCAAAAGACAAAGAGACATTCAATGACCATTTACGATCCGTAGGAAGCATTACTTTGGAACAAGTGGATCATTTGCAAAGTTCGTGTTTAATTGTTTGTGGAGCAATATGACTCAACGTCTGATAGTACCAACGACAAAATTATTGGCAGATATAAGCTAATACTTTCAAATCGTGGACCATTAAAGAAACTTTTAACCACGTGGACATCCTTCAAAAAGATTTCACGAATTACGTAGACGTTGCAGAGTATGCCCCCACGTCGAGTTTGGAAATAACATCAATGCAGAATATGCGATAGCCAATGCCCATTTAAACTTTTATTCTGTCTTACAATTCTTAGAAGATCGATCACTTTTTGGCAATAATGGTTACATGTACGTCGATCGCCCTGGTAAAATGTTGCCCACACGTCGCAGACAAACGTTTAGGAGCATATACGGATAAACATCTGGAATGCACTATTGTAAATTTTGCTACTGAAGGCTCGTACAAAGTAACAAGGAAAGAGTGAAATCCAACAATGCTTTGTATATTTTATCAAAACAATTTATTTCCATAGAAAACAATGTAAACATTGGTAAATAGGACTTACAGTTTGTGAATATAATCCAAGTTGGAATCTAAGAATAAAGACACAAGTCCTATCACTAAACAGTCCTATAAGAATCCAGGTTCGAGTGCCGACGACATACGAATATGGAGGGTGATGACGTCAGAAGTAGTCTAATGTATGAATAACAATAATTCCTCACTTAAATCAGTCTTTATTTTAGAATAATTCCAGAATAAACTTCCATAAATATCTTTCAGATTTTTTTATAAGGAAGTCAACTTGTTGAGTGTCCAGAAAAATAAATTATTTAATTCAAAAATCAGTCGAATAACAAACAATCTTGGCAACAAATTAAAAAATACATCCACCTTGTACCTTCAAGGTTTTGAATGACTCTGCTCAAACTCATATTTGGAATGCGTATTTAAACTCAAAACATCACTTCAAATCTCGCGAGATTGGTTATGTGGTCCCTTATTACGCTAACATTCACACGTAGGCCAAGATCACAGCATCAATCATTAGAAAAGGCTGTTTATAAACATTGATCACGCAAAGAATGTATGTCTGTGATGTTGACCGATAATTTAAACTTCCTGTTGATTTTATTACCGAGGTAAGACAGACACAATGCCAATTCTCATGTATTACTATTTCATCTTAAGTAAACAACTTTGTGATAAAAATATATCTCACTACACACCCATGCCACTCTATCAAACGCGATGTAGTGGGTATAATTACTTATGAATGTCATCTACATACGCACAACGGCACGAGTGATACAGCATGAACATTTCTCTTTACTAGTCACAATGATATCATTTGTGTACCTACCTAACCGTCGTATCCATGCATATCAATAAGCTATACATACAACCAGTTCGTAAAGATATATAAATTAGAAAAGAATACACGTTCCCAGTGTCTGTTTTTGGCTAATGTTACTTTCAAAGGGAAATGGTCTGAATATATCGAAGGAGCCAGACCTAAGTATTGAGCCAGATTAGGATTTGTCTATTTGGGAAAAGGAGATCGAAGATCATGTTTAAGCTCTGGCGTGACACTAATGGAATGTGAGTATAAAGATACAGCCCATCTAGGGTATACCATGTGATCGCCGCGTTGTCATTATTTTCCTTTCGTTAGCCCAATATATGATCTTTGTGTAGCAAACTTCAGAACGGAATTTATTTAGTGTATGACCTGAGCTGAGAGATTTAGGTGGAATTTAAATGAAAGGTGAAGAACAACTGCATCATCTACAACCTGGACTTTTAATCGTTGGTATGTGAATGCTAAAACAAAAGTTGCTTTCGAAAGTGGCCAAAAGATAATGAAGCACTAAGAGCTAGAAAGAGTTTCGATGTCACATCTTCTACCTGCAGGATTGTACTACTACATAGAATTACAGAATACGAAGACTTACAGAATTACTTCAAAAAAAATTAAAAGAAGTATAAATTCAAGACGAAACATCTTCACGGCATATGGTGTGTGCTAAGTTACTGACTGGTAAATTTATTCGAAATACCAGCTTTAAAATCAAATTCTATTTGGGAAAGGAATTAACATTCCCTCCCCCCAAGGCATTCCTGTTAATGTCGTGTTTAGAATAGTACATTTAGAATTTTCCCTTCGTAGCTGCGAGAATGCATTTAGAGAGAGGTTTTTTTTAAAGTTTAAGTGAAACGCAGACTCTTAATCATTTCTCGATTGATAAAATAATGTTGTTTTTACAGTTTAAGGAGTCTGATTGTCACGATAGACTATGACACAAAATACAGCGTGGTAATAAATCTTGCCATGTCACAACTTCTGACACAGTGTTAAAAAAATTTTCGTTGAAAAATATTTAACGACAATGTTCAAGAACTAGTGGATTACCGATTACTTTTAAAATAACTGCTTTGAAAAGACAACTCAATTTTAATGAATTTTGGACGACGTGTGGTGTGAGTTTTAGAGACTACCTTTCTAGGAATTCGTTTACCAGCAGATTCTTATGGACAAATAATGAACAAAGATATTAACAACAGAACTTTATCTATGCACAAAACATTCATTGCGTTAACGGAGTTGAGATCATGCGGAAGACGAGAAGATTTGTGACGAGTTGTGTACGGCCGAGTGCAGAGAAGATTGTCTTACTTTCTCTCTTCTTCATACTAAACAAGACCTGTATATACCTAGTTAGTTACACCAACCAATTTACAGCTTGAAGGATTTAACTGTAAAATTCTTGGTTTTGATGTTTTGATACAAGAAGTGGTTAATTATGCCAAAGGCATTGTGTTTGACTGAACAAAGCAACGAATTTAATTTAGAACTAGTGATAGAAAGGACACAAGTGAGAGTGAGACCTATTTCAGAAATAGTAGTAAAATACCCTAACTAGAGGAGGTAAAATAGTAGTAAAATACCCTAACGAGTCAATGAGAGTAGTAGCCTTCTGATAGAAAAGAATAGGGAAATCAGTAGTACTATAAGTACAAGTAAGCATCACGCGATCCAACAAGGGCATTAGTTCTGGTGATTATGATTATGATTTTTAGCATAGCTTTAACAATGTTCAGTCATATTGTTACGATGTCTTCAGTGTGGCAGTTTATAGTGATGTCTGGCACTGGGGAATCATGCCGCAGACATGTAGCATGATGTCCCACACAGTCACATTATCCTGACACCAGGCCGACCAGTCCTAATACTAATGCTGAGCGTCAAGCGAGGCAGCTGTTAGTACCATTTTTGTAAGTCTTTGGTATGGCTCTCATTGTGGATCGAACCCACGACCTCCCGCATCCGAGGCGGCCGCTCTAACTACTAGGCCACCGGAGCGGTTGAGTTCTGGTGAAACGACCAACTGATATTATTCGTGATTAGCTGGTAATACCCACGTGACCCAGTTTATTTGTGATTTCGAGACAAAAGAAGAAGATGATTCATTTCAAATTTCGTAATTCACTATGATGCGTCTTGATATTCTATATAATAAAATTATTGTAAGGTATTAGGCATTCTTCGTAGTACTATCAGTCTTGGAAGAGTCATTGAGAGGGTTGATTACTTAATTATTTAATTTAATCATTCGCTGGAACTGCGATGCTCTGACATTCTTTAAACAATTATTTAGATGTATTGCTTACTCAATTGAGGTCAACCATAGGCCGGCTGTTACGTACGCTATGGACGAATTTGATTCTACTGAACGAATCAATAGGATTCAATAAAAATGAAATAAAAGTTGTTTACATAGAACTAACACGCAATCCAATATGACTTTGATTACGACCAATTATCTTCACTCTAAGAAAGAAATAAAAAGGTTATTTACCAGTTCTGAATCAATCAAGGTCAGGAACAATGTCAGCTAAAAATCCAAAGTAGCAGTACTGGTTATTTACCAGGACAAAATAGAACTGTACTGAATTTTCCGAAAAACGTCAAATCCATGGAATAAAATTATCATTACTATAACACGTAATGAAATAAAAATAAGGAGGGTATATATCGAACGGGTTTGGATGCATACATTTAACAATAAAAATGTTCCCAATAGAGACACCTTATAAGAGCTTAAAAGCGACGCCGTGACGCTTTTCTGCAATACATGTAACTACATCTGATTCAGACTAATACAGAGCCGCAGAAATTTAAAGATGTACAACAATCTCGACAATCTGTACGGTACCTCATAGCAGAGTTTGAACAAACTTTTGTGTCACTAATTAAACCCACAAAATAATTTCCAAATGTGACGACGATATTACAAAGGTAACAAAAGCTATTGTACAACAAGTGGCAGCGCTTGATCCAGTCTCCAACACACCAAATATATTTTAAAAACTACAACAGCAACTACAGAGGATTTAACGCACTTGTCAAGAAATGTGGCTGAGTTCAAAAGGAAAAAATGACGTCGGAGAACCTGAATAATCACTTTCACCAAACCACCTGGATACTGGTTATATCAAAACACAAAATATTAATGAAGAAGGTGGCAAGTGGATCGATAGATATCCTTTCGTGCAAGTCTTCAGATACCCCCAACTGGTCCGATTTAGTGATCAAAGAACCATCAAAGGATATGGAGAACGTTTGAGTAGAGTGGGTATACAGGGAATCTTGCTCGGGATAGAGAGCATCTGGCGTGCTGTTAAATTATTATAATATGCTTGATTTGATGAAAGCAGATAAAGGTGATGAAACGTTTTACGCGATAAAACATTTTATAAGACTCTTGCGGAGAAGAAGAGATTATCAACTAGCACATACAACTACCACGACAAAAGAATATCCACTAACCCTTGATACTGCGGAAGAAGAATATTCAGATTGACCAGTATAAAAGTTACACATAAAATATCCAAAAACACCACACAAATAAACAGAAAACAATCTCAACTGTACCTGAATCAACTACACTGAAAGAACAGAATGGATAGACTAGAAGGCAAAAAAAGTTGAAATAGTAACCGATACTAAGACTTACACCCACAGAAAAGGAGATGAGTTTGGTGGCCTATGTGCTCTAACGACCTTACTGCTCGATTGGAAATACTCGTGAGATCAGTTTGTTAGAAACATCGTGTTTACTTCAATCGAAAATGTGACTCATGACATATGACGAGCTTTGTATGATAGTAAATTCGTCGCAAGCAAACATTTCGAAATAGCTATGCAAATGATTAGTTGATACTTGGTCAGGCTTTCCTAATGTCCAGATGAATTGCGAAATTACACGTGTCCTCCGTGCATGTGTACATGAAATGACTTATTAATGTCTTTAAAATGCTTAATTATCTGCAAGAAAGTCAGTCAGATTCGTAGCCGATTTCAACATCTTAGAGTGTTACATAGCTTGTATTTCCTTAAACTCCTTATTTTTGTGGTTCAAGTTGTCTGTTCGTGTGATTACATCGAACGACATGTGTTTTGTTAATGCATATAACTGTACTTCGTCTACTTTCTAAATAACGTAGAACTGACGGAGCAATAGTCTTACTGACAAGATAACATAGTAGAAGCAGAAAAACAACTGCGAAACGAAATTGCAAAGGTATTCTGATCGTAAAATATAAGCGCACATATGTGGTCGTAGATGCTAGTTGCGTTCTTCATGCGGAAGCAACTGTTGGTATTCCATGTGACAGAAGTAACGACCACATTGTAGGTGCACCAATCGGTATTATCTATAGCAACCGGTGTTGTTGCTGGTGCGAGCAAATTAATTTATATGCGACTGCATTCCCGAATCACTTGCTGCCAAACAGAGTAGTCTCAACACCATCAGTAAACATTATCCTATGCAATAATAGATAAATAACGCGGTGGAATTTGAGATAGTTCTTGCAGAAATGGACAATCAAAAATAATAACAAGTACAAAGAAAAAAAAAGCTTTGAATTACAAGCAGAGAAAATCAAATTAAGAGCCAAAGTCTTGATCGAAACACATTAGCTGCTTCCCAGTACATTCATTCATTTGCCTTTGATCTGCTTCGTACGTACGTCAATTCATACATATGTGCGTGCGTACATACATACATACCTACATACATACATACATACATACATACATACATACATACATACATACATACATACATACATACATACATACATACATACATACATACATACATACATACATATGTATTTTAGAAAAAGAAAGTTTGTAGTTCAAATTTATTCATAAATATTTGAAACATGCTAGTAGGCTAATATAATTTTTTGTTATGAATGAAACCATGCTTTACCCTATGTCACTTTTGACGAATGCATCCTTTATTTCAGTTTGGAATGCCCTGTTGCTAAGAAACCTGAGTCACTGTTGGAACAAAAGATACGGTGGATTTTCAGTGGTGCTGTATTGTTGCAGAATATGAATCCTCGACAGTTGTACAAGGACTCCACATGTATATCTTACACTGTGAAAAATACATTTACATCAATTGGGAGTTATGTAGGGAGAGTGCCGATCTTTGGCACAGTTGGGATAATATTTCACAACATCTCAGTAAATTACTCTGGACACTACTATATTTCGTTACGCTGAACGATAGCTTGGAATATAACAGTGCTGCAGATACACCCTATCAATCAGTCTACCTACCAGGCAAGTAAGTAAGGTACGCAATGGATGTCTGTAGAATTTTATGCATGGGAGTGTCAAAAACAAGAAGCTTTCTACACTTGGAATCAGACTCACACCATGGACCCTTTAGACTTTCATGAAGAAATTTTAAAGTATTATCGTTCGGACCTAGACATTTTATAGTATTGCTCTGTAAACGTTTGAGAACTAATCATGGAGCACGAAGAGATCCACCTTTGAAAAAAGTCTGCAACATTGCCAAAATGTGTTCGTTAGTGTACCGCCGCCGATTCATGCCCGAAACCACCCTGGTTATCATAGGCCCTCAAACCACGAACTTTGTCAAACGTCAGTACTCTGTCTTAGCCCAACGCTGGCTACATTGCATGTGCATCAATGAAGACAAACGGATCAAACACGCCTGCAACGGAAGAGGCGAAATGACTATTGGCAGGTATCTTGTTAATGGCATCAGCATGACACTAAAAATCAGTTTTTATAATGTACCGTGGAAGAATTATACAAGAATACTTGTCAGAGAAGCTTGAAGATAGAACAGCGAGGATACCAAATGGTAGAAATATGGGACACGAGTACGACCACCGTTTGAAACCCGATCCAGAGTTTAAACACATCGTGGAAAATTACAAGCTGGTGCAACCACTGCACCCGTGGGACAGTTTGTACGGAGGACTCACGAATGATACATGTTTTTGTACCACGCCGATAAAAGAAAAGGAGAAAAAAAATCAAAATACTTGGACGCGTGTTCGCTGTATCCTTGCTCGTGCAAATATTGTCACTTTGCCGAAAAACATCCGCAATTGCTGACGGAACACATCGACACTGAACAACATTCGTCAATACGAAGAAATGATCAAGTGCAAAGTATTGCCTCCCATGCACTTGTACCATACAGTCTTACCTCAGCGTTGCCAAGGAAAACTGATTTTCTCTTATGCTGTACTTGCGTCGAACGTATAACCAAGTCCGACCTTGTCAGCACACCCAGAAAGAACGAATTTAGACGGGAATGTGGGTCAGCGTGGAATTGTTTAATGCTCTGGATTTGAGATATCAACTGTTAGCAGTGTCCGAAATTTACCACTTTCCTAAGATAGAAAAATGCCACAAGGGTGACAATACTCAGAAAGGTATTATCGCAGACTACGTAGATGCCTTTTTGAAACTGAAATAAGAAGACAGCGACTATCTCTCCTGGAACCACACTCACGAAGACCAAAAATATTCAAAGAGAAATACTGAAAACAGGAAGGCATCACATTAAATAAAATTTAGAAAATCGAAGGAAGGTTATCTTTTGCCAAAGTAATGTTAAATTGTTTGTGGGGCAAAATGGCACAACGACCATGTTTACCCAAACATCAAGTATCAAGAGATAGCAAACTCGAGTGTGATGCTGTGCCTTATGAATACAGGGATGCCGTACGCTGTGACCTCAGCGAATCACAGTACTACATCATCATGAAAGCTTTGATATGAAAACTACTACCATACCTACCGTGGAAAACCTGGGTCACAGGGTAGTCACCGAGTCGCCGAATGGGTCGCAGGAGCTCCGAATTGGTCGCAGTCGCCGACTATGTCGCAACCTCGTTTGCAGTTGCCAGCTGTATCGCAGACCTGTCGCAGTCTTGTCTCCGATTTGGTCGCAGGGTCTCTGACTGGTCACAGTCTTGGTTCCAAAGCTGTCGACAAGTCCCGTCGTTATAGAGA